TTGAATTTTACATTTATACCATTCACTTTTCTTATATCACATATTACATAAAACAACGTGATACAAAGAGACGACATAATTAAAAAAAATATCACGATACATCAAAGACATGTTTTATTAAGTATTAATATAAAAAAAATATATTATTTTATCATTTTTTATTAAAATTATCAAAAAATAAATTATGTAAAAATAAATTTAACTTCACAAATTTAATTTAAATTATAAAATCTGATTCTTATGAAAATTATTTTTTAAAATTATATATAATATATTTCAAAAGAGTTAATCGAATTTATTATTCAACTTATCAACTAAAATTTTAAAAATTATATGATTACAAAGAGGGAATTACTAATGTTCGACTTCAACGAATTTTGAATGCACCTTAGATGCTCTATTGACTAAAGTTAGAAAGAGCTTCAAGTGATGAGACGGTTTGAAATAATTAAAGTTATACATATATTTATAATTTTATAGTTTGTCTCATTTTATCAAAAAAGTGTTAAGCTTTTGTGGTGTCAGCGATGTCCGATACATGTCCAATTCGACAGATTTAGCCAAAGAATGGGGAATTAATAGTTTAATTTAGAAAAAATTGCATGCAATCACATGAAATATTAATATTTATAAATTAAGTACCGTTTTTTGAGAATTTAATTAAAATGAAATAAAGGGTGTTGGAGTTTTATCATGAATTATAATATTTGAGTGATTGACTTGTAAATAAAAAATATCAGGTGGTATGTATAATTGATACTTTAATTTAATTAGAATAAGTATTAATTAAAGAAGAGTATTAAATTTGATACGCCACCAATAAATTTTCATCGTCCGGCACGAATTTCGGTGTAATTTTTTGAACAAGAAACATTCAAATTTCGATTAAGAGTCATCTGGAGCTCCGATTTCAGCAAAACTTATAGTCAAACTGATCAGCTCGATGAGACGGACTTAGTTATATGAAAGTCAGTCCAATCCAAGTCAAATCAAACCCGAATCAAGTCATTAAACCACTATTGGAGAATTTTTGGAGGCATTTGAAAGGTCAAACGGATGTCGAATCTAGCGAGTTTATAGTCGAATCGAGCATCTCGATAAGACGAATCCAACGAGCCTAAGATTGCTCAATTTTGATATTGTTAAGGCACTCAAATGTCCATCAAACGTCATCTGATCAAGGGAAGCTCTCCGGACCGTCCGATCAAAATGGTTCATATTTCTGCATTAATTGCACTCAAAACATTATAAATAGAGTCTCACCCCTCACATGAAAGGGAAGGCTTAAGAGAGAACTTGAGGCTTTAAGAAGAAGCTCAAGTCCAAAATCATCATCGCCATCATCGATCGTCGTCGACCACCACTGTCTGCCACCGTTGATCGTCGCCGATCACTGCTAACCTACATTGACCACCGCCGACGGTCATCGATTGTCGTTTATTACCTTCGATCACCGCCGACATCCGTCAACCACTACTAACTAGATATCGTCAGTCGACGTTATAAATTTGAAAGCTAATAATCATTTCCCGCTTGTGGGACAAACGACATATGTAATCATCAACTTATAGTGGATTTTTATAACTGGCCCAGACCCCGTGATTTTTCCCCTTTACGGGTTTTCTACATAAAAACCTCTGATGTCATCACAGCTTGATTCATTTTCATCTGAGTATGTGTTGAATCCTCGCGTAACGCTAAGACGATAATTCATTACTCTACCGCCGCGAATTTTCTATCACGCATCAAAATTAATTAAATTTTTTTAAAAAAAATCTAAATTAGGTAACTAAATATAATTGCATTGAAATATTTTAAGAAAAAAACAGATTAAAAATAGAAAATATGTTTATTTGTTTGCTTTTTTATTTTATATAATTTTATTTTTAAACAATTTTAAAGCCATTTTTTAAATTTTACGAGCAACCTACCTGTCTAGTTCACTTTCTTTTCGTCGGCTACCTCATCACTCCGGTGACGCCAACTAGCAATTTTATTGAGCTAAGCCTGCTTGTGATCCAGCTCGAGCTTGGCTCGATAAATATCTTACGAGTTGAGCCCGAGGAGCAAACAAGCCATGCTCAAACTGATGCCAATTAAGAGTCGACTTGTTAGCTCATGATAGGTCATTTTAGAAAAAAAAAATATCTATAAAAAATATACTTGAAATATTAAAATATTAAAAATTAAAATTTTATTTTTAAATTATTAAAAATATAAAAGAAAAGGATAATTTATGAGAAAAGTGCATCCCCTTACTATTTAAAGGGACTATTTAAAGAGGGCCATTTTAGCCCCCGGCCTTCAAAAAATATCAAACTAGCCCCCCAACTATTGAAAATAAAGGTTGAAATAGTCCACCCTTAAAAAAAAAAATCAAAGATTCATGTTAAAGTTAATAGTGGAGGAGGGGCATTTTGGAGTTTTTATATTTTGTTAACTTTAGCCATCTACATACAATGGTACATTCACATATATACCGCTAAATTCTCATGTATTTACTTATCTAACAACAAAACTTTCATTCCATACATATTTATATCACCCAAATCTTCTTTCACATCACATGGAAATTTGCATAAAAACCACACAATTTATATGTTTTTATATATCTAACACCTAAACTTTCATATTACATCCAAAGTGCTATGCATTTGAATGTTGAATTTTGGAGGTCAGATATGTAAATACATAAGAATTGCATGTTATGTTTCTTCCGAACTTATTCCGAACTTAAAGGTACGCAGTAGGAGGCAATATTTAAAAAAAAAAAAAAACACACAGAACATATAAGCTGCTACAATAACCCAAATGCTAAAGTTTATATGCAGATGGAAATACCTTGGTGGCAATAGTGGAATCATGCTGCTCTTAGGCCATTCTTTAGGTTCATTTATAGGCATGATATTGCTTTCATAAATTTCCTTATAATTTTCTATATCACATATCCATATGCACTGCAGCACATATATGTACACAAGGTATTTCGGTCGACTTCCACTTCCTACAACAACATGATTTGGTCTCTAAATTCACAATGTATTGTGCATCATGCATGGAACTTATCTCGTAGTTGTTATCAACAAATTTAATACAATGTATGTTCGAGCTTCACGTTTATTTTTTCCAAGAACATCATTTATCCTTAGGCATAACTTCTCACCCCATTTCATGGCTTTTTTTTAGCATTATTGTCATCACCATAATACTTACGGTCTCAAGCATTGTAATGATTTGCAACATTCTAACATCAAGGATGAAAGCATTAAACAAATCACACATATTGTTGAGTAGAGTGTCACATTTTGGGCTAAAGTTAAAATGTGATCTTGACCACTCGTTTGGAGAATTTTCATTCAACCAGCAGAGTGTTGCAACATCTAACTGTTTTAGCTCGTTCATCCTAAATGTATATTGATTAACTGTGGTTTCCCTTGCAGTTGCCCATAAGGATTCTTCAATGTTGTCCCAGTAAATCTAACTTACTTGAAGTTTTGATGTAAATGTCTAACACAAAATCTATTAGTGACATCAGACATTATATTCTCAAATGCAGGAATTAACACTTTCTACTTATCAGAAATAAAATTAAAGTTATATTGCTTTTAAAAAATAATTATATATTTACCGAGCAAATTTAAGAACCACTCCCAACTACTTATACTTTCTGCTTCAACCACTGCCCATGTAATGAGAAATATATTAAGGTTTCCATCAAGAGTAACCGCGGCTAAAAGTTGGCACCCTTGTGATCCCTTCAAAAACAACTACCAACGCCTATTATTTGTCTACAACCTGAGAGAGCCTTTCTTTCATGCAGCAAAACAAATATAAAGCCTTACAAATGTTTTTTCTACCATGCAAATTTGAATCTTTACTTGGATGCACTGCAATAATTGAATCTGGGTTGGCCTTTGCAATTTCTAAACAGTACTCTCAAATTTTGTTAAATTGATCTTATTCTTTCATATGTGTTATTTTATGAGCCTTCTTTGTTTGTTCTTTTAACAAATGTAGCTGTAAATCATAAATGATCTCTTTTATGAAAATATTACACCAATAATTGTAGGGTTCAAAGTTTTGTTATGATAATTCCATGTACAAGTGAGCTCCTATAATAATCTTGTCTGTCATGAACTGCTCCTCTCATGCTTGGAAATGTATATGAGATTACACCTTCCATCATTCTTCATAAATTTAGTAGTTTTTCATTTTTGAATTGACAAACTTTGCACAGCTTTTTTAAACTCATCCTTGTTGCTAAATAACATGCCAACTTCAAAACTAGTATTTTAAGTAGTCACGAGATCATTTTAGCACTTTTCTCAATAATTTATACTTAATATCATGTGATTTCTTAATAAATTATCTCCTAATTGTAAATTTTTATCATTTTATTTTAACATTATTTATTAATAATTTCTTCCCTTTTATAATAAAGAAATTAAAAAGTGAGCCGTTTGAATTCATCTAATTAAGCTCAAATTCAATTAATTAATCAAACTGATACTCTAATGTACTATGATCGCTTTTGGGAAAGGATGGATTTTCAGAAAAATTTAAATTAATTAAATTGGTATATTACTAATTTTACATGCTCTCGAGATTAAAATGATGTTATTTAACTAGTTAATGAACCAAAATAATTTAAAAACTTACAAAAAAAATAATTTTTTTTTGAACAAAATGTAAAAATTAAACATGAATTTTATTTTTATTTTTAAAATAAAAATATAATAATGAAATATGTTTTTTATTTTTTGTTTTAAAATAAGATACTGTAAAATTATCAAATATGTTTTTGTTATGTTAAAAAATACAAATATATATAAAAAAAAAAAAGCAAAGTTTAGGTGTTAGATATGCAAATACATAGGAATTGGGTGGTATATATGTAAATGCCCCAAAAATAAATCAGCAAGCAGACAATGTGTGAAGGGGAGGGAATTAACCATAGTTAAACTGATACACTAATTCTGTTCTATGCATGCAATTAATTAAAGAGAATAAATTAAAAAAAAGTTAAAAAAGATGTTACCAAAAGCATTAGTAACAATAACTGTCTCGATGTGTGATCATCACATAAATACATCTGAATCAATTTGCTGCAGTTTAGGAAATATTCGCTTCAATGTTGCGGAATAGTTTGGAGAGTTTGCCTGAAAAACAAGTATAAAAATTGCACATCTTAGAAGAATGCAATTTCATGAAATTATTTCAATAAAACATCACTAAAACAGATATTTTTGCAAAACTATAAACATGTTACTTGTGCAAATCTATTCGAATCATTTTTTTTGTGATGCATGCCTTTCCACCTCCTTGAGTTATAGAAGCAAATATTACATCTGGATAATATACGTGCGGATTGATGGTATTGTGATGATATAGTTACCTATTATCTTTAGTTTCCCTGCTTTCGTTATTTGTTTAGTTGCTTTTTTAAAAAAATTACTTAATTACATGTTAAGGGAGGTGGTTCCCCTGCCGTTAGATACAGCCACACCCGCGTCTCTGCTATAGGAGAGCGGGGACAGAGGTCGGAACTCGGAAGGCAGAACATCATTATCTTTATTTTGGAATTACAGAAAATATCTTAATTGTTCTTCTGCTTGGTTCTTGTTCATGTTCAATCAGGTTTTGCATCAGACTGGTATCAAATTCAAGTATGGCGGACTGCAACAGAACCTTGGCGCACGGCGACGATCGTAGCTGGGAGATCTTACGGGAATTGCAGGCGTGTCTCGAAAGGAGGGTAGACAACCTCGCTACCAACCTAAACTTATGTCACAGAAATGCGGCAAGGGCTTTTCAACTCCTTCGCAATGAAGGATCGACAAAGAAGAAAGCCACACCAGCGGTCTTGACACCCACACCATTGACAGGGAAACCATTATTAGGAATTGTGGAAGACGGTCTATGCTACGACGCAGCCGAACTATGATCATGGATTAGAGCCGTGTTGACGGAGGAAGGCTGCACTCGCAATGGTCGCACTTCTTGGGATCGGAATTGGATGAGTTGAGCTGCTCGATGAAGTTCCAACCCGCAGCCGACCAGGTAGAGATCGTCTTTACAGCAACTGCTAGGTTAAGATTGATATTCCTTACTTCAATGGCCACCTACATATCAAAGAGTACTTGGATTGGGAGCAGGTCGTGCAAGCATTCTTCAAGTATATGGATGTTCATATCTAAAAACAGGTGCGCTACACCACCTGTAGATTGAAAGGAGGAGCGAGTGCTTGGTGGCAACAAGTGACACTATCTCGTCGGAGAGAGGGAAGAAAACCCACTAAAAGCGTGAACTTGCTATCTGGCAGACGGGTTATTCACAGATTTGTCGCAGGGGAAATTGTGACAGGTAGAGTTCGGCTGGTGTTCGCAGTATTTCAGCCAAATTTTTGTGTGAACAGAAAATGTGCTTCGTGTGAAAAATTTGATTCACGAATCATAAGAAACTGCGGGAAAATTGTTGCAATAGATAAATGAAATTTCATGTTTCTTTGAATTTTTTTATGGTGTGTTTTTTTTCAATACAAGACAGAAAAAATTCACTACATTATTAATCTCAAATGACAATATCTGATGCAAAATTCGAAATAATGAAATTCGATGAAATAGAGAACTTCGGATTGTGACAAATAAGGATGAAAGATTTATTGACACAACAGAGAATTTTGAAGGCATTACGAGCTATGAAATCTGATAGTAATATCTATAAAATGTTGGAGATTTCAATTGTATGTGAAGTACACTCTGTCGGATCATATGATGAAAATGCAGCAGAAAAGTTGATCAAGCCAGGTATTTCAACAAGTTCTTGCGTTACTCGAACTTGTTGAATGTTTGCAGTTGCTAGTAGGCATGATTACCCAACCCACATCGGTGTAAGAAACTTCATGATGTATTTCTCCAAGAGGTTGAATATTCGCAAGATAGAGATTTTTTTTCTAAGAGGATGGATATTCGCCAAGGTGGAAAATTATTAGGTATGGCTCATATACCAGAAAATTTGGAGTATCTTGAAATTGAGAGGTCTGTCTCCCGGAATGAAAAAGAGTGTATCTTGGTGTGAAGAAGCATCTCTTAGATTAGTGGGTTGGGGGGAGCAAGGGCGTGTTAATAAATTTATCTGTGGGTTTTATCTATAAATATATGTGTAACTCTATGGGTATGTAACTCCTCTGAAATAGTGAATTCGCCGCTCTCTCCCGAGGACGTAGGCATATTTGTCGAACCTCGTTAAATTTCTGTGTTTTTCTTTTAAATTTGTGTTGTTTCACCTTAAAAATCACAATAATTGGTGTATATCTCACAACAACTGGTATCAGAGCTTTGTTCGGATCTGAGAAAGACGATGGCTGCAGATGAAGTGATGGTTTCCAGGATCATGAAATTTAATGGCACAGATTTTGACCATTGGAGAATGCAGATAGATGATTACCTTTATGGGAAGAAACTTCATCTTTTGTTAATGGGGAAAAAACCTGAAAAGATAAATGAGGTTAAATAAAATTTGTTGGATCAACAAGTTCTAGGAGTTATTCGATTGACCCTATTGAGGTTCGTTGCTGTCGACCATTTTAATTTTCTAGCTAGTAAAAGAGATAATTTTGTATGTATGAAAAAAACTTAAATATAAATATGTGATTTTGATTTTTTTTTAAGTAATATATTTTTTTTAAATTTTTGAAAAGAGATGAGACTAAACGGGTCTAACATTTTGAATAGTTTGGATGACTGAGCACAATACCACAAGTAATACACTTGTCCCAAAGAATAAACATATCATTTGTAGTAGGCTCAATAACCTAAACTAAAGAATTTGTGACATCCGTTTGGTCTGTGAAACATTTTTATATAAGGTCAACAAGTTCTCCTACTTAATATAAAAATTAGATATGGTTTATTTTACATGGGTTCCAAGTTCCCTATAGAGTCAAACCCCAATAGTTAATTACATCTTAAATGACCGAAGCCACTTAAAAAAATTCTCGATTTAGATCAGTGGTTCTGTCTTTAAGATTTCAAAGTTTAAGTTTCCACGATTTGAAATCAGAAAATCAAATAGGATTGGCTCAAACAGGAACAGTTATTTTACGGAATCCAAAAGAATGAAGAGTAAGGGATATCATAGATTTAGGGAAAATCTTGGTGATTTTCCAACTATCCTATTATTTGAATTTATGTCTTTGAAATAATGTTATTTAATGTTTAATCCTGCAATTTATTTAGAATTTAGGACTTATGTTTGCACGATATCTGATCGTGCAAATAGCCTAAAAAGATAGAAGGATTTACACTGTACTATACAGTAATCTCAGAATCCTAAAATGTTAGGACTTATAATAGTACATCACGGTTATGCAAAAGTCTAAAAGTTATATGTGAGAGTTTACGCTGCGCTAGGCAAACCACATCAAAATCCTATGAGTTGTTAGTTAAACTAAAGAAAGTGATTTGTGATATAAATTTGTTTTGATGTTGCAGATCCATCTTGAAGTGATTCCTCCGTATGTCCTCATCATGCTGCCTACGATGTTCGCTCCAAGCTCCCCTTCGTAGCACCTTCGGGTTTGATATTAGTTTTAAAGAGGTACATGTGATCATTAGGTTTTCCTACACTAAGGTGTAGTGCGTAACAGAACAATAAAGTATGCAGTATAAAAGAAAAGAACAATATAATGTACATTAAAAAAGAAGGACAATATAGTATGCTATATAAAAGAAAAGAACAATAGAATGTACATTAAAGAAGAAGTACTGTATAGTATGCTGTGAAGTAAAATACTTTAATGTAAATCAAGCATGTATATCTAGAAGGTATGCTGCTCCTTTAAGAGAGCTAGTATTTACTGCATAAATTAAAAAAACATTTCGTGGAAAACTCGAGAAAATCGACAAATGACAATTCCAAGAAAATTATCAAAATCTCGGGAAGATCCCGGAAAAAGGACCGCGAGTGCTTTGCCCAAAAATTCCAATAAAACATATGAAAAAATCCAAAAAGAGGGCAAAAAGAGGGGACCGTATGAAAAGGGGGGATCGCAAGCACTTGGGTCGGGGCTAGACTCAAATATAATATACTTATACTCAAGGGACGTCGAAGACTACTATCAGTCACCCGGATGCATAGAACCCGCCACTCAACTAGAAGAGTGTCCTACTAAACCTAACTTAGGAGGGTACTTTTTAGCCCGGTACTGGTACTCAACAAGTGGACAATGAAATTGTAATATATTTAAAAATTTATATTTTAGCATGCACGTGTATTCCAGGCATACAAAAGTAAGTTGTATCAATTTTGTATTAAAATATTTTTTTATAAATATTGTATCTGTGCTTATCATGTTTTGTTCTTATCAGTTTTGAAAAAAATTACGATTGTCCACGAGTTGATTACGTTGTTGGGCGTAGGACCGTCAACAACCTAAGAAGGTACGGGTCCCCCGCTAGTCTTGTGTCGATGAATGATATTGTCATCCTCAGTTTATCAGATCCCAAGATTGGGTCATGATATCGTAGGATGAAATATTATTCTGCTCTATCCCCGACGTGCCTTTGTCATCATTGCCCTAAACCCCAAAACAAAATCGACCTACTTGCGACCTTGCTTGATGATTCTTGCTTGATGATTTCATATACAGCAAAAGCAATATATAGGCACTTATATGTCAGACATAAGTACTGAAAACCGAACCAAGAAGCAAGGAAAAAAAAGAATGAAAATGGGGATGAGAGGAGGAATTGATCCACCCAAAAGATAGAAAGAATGAAAGGTGGAGCAAATCTCAAAACTATGACAAAAAGAGAGCCCAAGATCCTTGAATCGATCCAAGAAGGATATCATTTTCTCAAATTTTATAAATGGATCAACCCAAGAAGGGTATCCCTTCCAAATTTTGTTTCAAACAAGTCAAAACGAGCCCAAAACTAATGTAACAATTGTATTCACGGCTCCAACACCTATATGTACTCACACACCCCAGCCTGAACTGAAATGTGGCACTTATGTTATCCAAATTTTAATGTTGAATCTTCAAACACTTTTCCAAATGACAATTTTATAAGCTTTCAAACCTTTCATGAACCTGTTTCATATCAACTTTATGATTTCCCAAAATAAAGCTATAAAAATCTTTCATATTTCACAAAAT